TTTTTAATTAGTGCCGTCTTAGCTGAACATGTTTGATTATACTGTTAGCAGCGATTATCCTTGAAGTTCATCACACAAGGTCTTGCATATGGGATTTTCCGACCACTTTTTTGGCTATTTTGAACTTACCGGAACGCTGATGCAATGATTTAATCACAACGCCACTCTCACTCGGAGTTCACTCTTTTATCCGTTTCAGCAAATCATATTGACTTAATACCGATTAACGTCATTTAGGTCCAAAGAGACAGTTTTAAAAATAATTCGTAAAGGAAGACTATCTGTGACTAAGGAGCTGCTATTGCACAACCCTCTTTTCCTCGTATTTATCATTTTCTAGAAAAATGAACTTAATGAATTAGTTTAATACTGCTATGTTACCATTATTTAAAAGGTGTTAACTGACTAGTTTTCCCGTTCACTTAATGTGATCAAGTAAAGTGAAGATGTACAGCTCATGCATTGGAATCTTAAACTGCCCGATCGTCTTCGGACGCCTACAACTGCACGCTCTCATTGAGTTATTTCAAGGTCGAGAATTGACGCTGTATTCCCTGGCCAGTTATGGTAAACTTCCTCGATTCTTCAAATAGTTTAAATTCATTCAGGGTGTCGATTGGTTGAATCATGGACTGATTATGTGATTCATGCATCAGATCTATTAAGAACAACGGAACAGCTGACGGAAGCCTGCACCTTACTGAAATGTTTGCATTCTAAACAATCTGAAATGAGCATTCAGTTTAGCAGTCTTTGAGTTACAGCAACGTACTGAATTAACATCTTCGCAGTTTTCAGGGATAATTCTCAAGTTTTAGTTGTCTTTTTGCTGCCGGAAATTACCCTTTTGCCCGGCGATATGCACAAACTTGATCCCATCCGAATTGATGTATAATCTGCTTACAAATGTCCCCAACTGGATTGTTTAAAAATAGCCCTACAGACAGAACGATATACAAGGAACAATTGATCTTTAGTCTTTTTAATACCCCTTGGTCTTATACGGAAGGAGGGGTAAACGACGCTTTTTTTCTCATTACATTTGTTCGAATTTCGGTCCTCTCCACATTTTACGTTTGTGACAGATTTTTCTACAGTTCTTCCTGTCGCGTGTTATATACCTTAGGAAAGTAAAATTTTTGGACTGACCAAGGATAGTTTCGATTTTCATTCACTCTGTTTACAGAAACATGAAATGGAACTATGAATTAAAGCTGTTTCTTATGGCATTTACAGATGTTTCGAGACAGTTTTTTTTTTGCTTACCGGGTATTTAAGGCGGAAGTTCACGCGGCAATCGACCACTCTGGTACACGTTTCATCATGTTATGCCCGTTATTGATTGTTGATAAAAGTCATTGTTTAGTTCAATGAAACTTAAAAATACGCTCTTTACAAAACCTCAATCAGTTGTTGTCAATCAGTCTTTCAATGATGGCAATTTGTTGTTTAGTAGTTCTAAAAAAAGTTCTCGACGATATCCAAATATTTTCGTACAAGGGACGAATGTAATTATTTCTTCTTTCTTTTGAATTACATCTCTGATTGACTACACCCGAAAGGCAATGCAAATTCAAACCAGTGAGAACCTTACCGTCTTTTCCTTTCCTTAGGCATTGTTTGTTTTATTTGATCGTGATTGGTCGCTAGCTAACGGTTATAGTACGGCTTCGGTCTGAATCTTCCCTGATCTTACATTATTATTTCACCCCTCGAAATGAAATCAGTCATCAATAATTGATATAATAAAACCTCAAGTAAAAAAAACATAAGGACAATTATGATAATAATAAGAATAATAATAAATAGATAAAAACACATATCTAATATTACAAAGTCGATAAGAGGAAAGCTACAAAAGGTGGAGAAAAAATAATAAATGGAAGAGAATAAGACAAAAAATATATTAAATAATGAACAAAAAGAGTTACATTAAAAAAAAAACTGAGTCTTTTTTCATAAATGTTTTCTTAGAAAGCTGTGAAAAATCTTGGGCTTATTCTAAATTAAAATAGGAGAAGAATTAATAATAATAATAACAATAATAATAATAATAATAATAATAGTAAACAGTTGTTATCTGGTATGGTACAGTTGTTTGACATTCTCACTTGTGTTTGATCAAAGGCTAATTGAACTATAAAAGTCTCAATAAATATTTTATATTATGCCCAGGGTAGTTTCAGAGGCGTTTCAGGCCTTCAGACGCCCTGATGTTTAAATATATCTCATTGTTTTGCTCAAATGTTAAAAATAGTGAGATACCATATATCAACAAGTTAAATCTATTACGTAATAAATTGAATTATATTGGGAAGTCTTTCGATAAAAGACCGCTTGAAATAGACTTTTATTAACTGTAACAACTAAATAGCAGGGAAATAATACGGAAGTGTAATTGTTAAATATCACATCAAACTTTAGGAAAGGATGGGTATACTTTACTGCTACACTGATCCTATCCATTTCGATCGAAAACGAATAGTCGAAACTCATTTATCCCGTCCCTGCATGTAGCGTTATGCGCTTCAAGGGGGATCTAGAAATTCAAAAACTAAGGGTTAGCCGAGACACTTGCCAGCTGTATAGATACTTAATTTATTTTAATGTGATTCTTTACAAAATAATGGAAAATATCGTAGAAAAAGGGGTATCCCCTTGGCTAACTTCTAAATTTGTTTGAAATACGGATTTTTTTTCTCCATCACTTGCTAAAAATAAATGTTGTCCACATCTTACTGTGTATATTCTTTTTTAATCCTTCGATTATTAGAATTCGATCTCCCTCCTGATTACATTTGGCGTTCTTGAGTGTCTTTTGCATGTCTTATTGAACAAGCTTAAAAATAGAAAATTTAAGTCAAGAATAAAGCTCAAGTTTGTGGCAGCAAAATAAGCTTTTATGGGGGAGAGGCTGGAAGAAGAGAGATTTGTTTGGCGTCGCCTTTTCCCAAGAGTTCCGTTTTCCTTCTACTATATATAATCCGCAGACATCACTGCTAGTTCGAATTAGAGTGCGGTTTTTGTAAAGAAGCGTTTATGGTTAACCCTTCAAACAAACATTTGTGTTCAAGGGCCAACGAAGGATCAAACAATCAGTTTTCGAACAAACAACGGACACATTTGTAGAAGACGAAGCCATAGTCAGAAAACAGTCGTATTATCTGCAACAAAGAAACAATAAAGAAATGATGAAGCAATATATTTTGTTTTGCCTGATAAATAACTGCCCCCGTTGCCAGAACTGGATACGAAAATTAAAATGCTGATCGCAGCTCAATTTTAGTTACCGATCTTTAAAATTTAGAGGAAAGGTACTTTCTGGTATTGTTGTGAATATCTAGAAGTGAACGGGGTAATTGAACAGAGTTACTCCGTTGTAACGTGTACAACGGTCAACACGCAACCAACAAAGGTGCCGAATCTTTCTAACCTGGTCAGCAACGTTTTGTTAAGCAACGAACCAATAGAGTAACAATATAAGACAGTATAAATAATTGCCTATTTCTGGATATGTTTATTAGAACTTTATAAATTTCGTCCTAATTTGAAGGCTAAGTTGTATACAATTCTAAATCATATGTGCATTGACAAGGGTGCAAAAAATTTATCTCGGTTCTAAAATACGGTATTTATGAACGAAGAATCCTTCTGGAAAATGTGATCGTCGATCAATAACCCAAACAAAACTTACAAAAATAATCCTCCCCTGAGGCTTACTATTATAACTTGAGAAAAAAACAAGCCGGAGCGTACTCAATTCGTTTTCAAAAAAGCAACGACAACGCTTCAATGTCAAACGTTTCAAGCGTTTTAGGTTATTGCAGTTTTATTGTGTCAAGTTGTTTCATTTTGTTTTAATCATTCAATTATAATATATTATTTTTCTTATAGTTGAATGCGCGTTCTCGTTTGAATAACTTCCTGTTGTTGTTCATAGAAACACTGATCAGTTATTGACACACCTTCCTTTAGACTTCTTTGCCAAACAAACTAAGAAACGAATTTTCCGATGTTTTTCGCGATTTAGGCAATAGTCATGTAACGGCTTGTTTTAACCGATACTCGCTCAATCATACAACGGATAAATATAGATATCATGATCAACACATCGACCACAAAGTCCGATACATGCCTCAACCTCTCTTCCGGAAACCTTGTGATAATATAACTTGTTTTTCTTTCCGAGAAACTCAAAAATAGTTTGCTTTTATCTCGGTGAAATTTCTTAACAAAACATCACTCGGTATGGAAGAGTTATCAAAGACATCTCTTCTACCAAAAATTGACATTTGAAGGTGATATTCATTGAAGCAAGTCAAAATTATGCAGAAAAAACAAAAGGATACGGAATGCGGACAATTGATGTTGTTCAAGGTCATGCCGCTATATTGAATTCCGTAGTTTTTTATAGCATTACTGGCGTGCTGTTAGCCGGTCTATTATTATTATAATCACAAGTCCCCTCAACAGTCACGTAGTCCACTATTTTATTCCTCTAAAATTTACAATATGTACATGCATTTAAATAACTTAAGTTTTTTGAATTATATCTACATTATATAACATATTTTGATAAAAAGTCATTTCTCAAAAAGACATCTATTTGATAGTTGACTCCGAGCTGACAAACTTCATATTTTGTTATTTTTAGTACGAGTAGTTGTACTGATGTTATCATAACAGTTTCTTGTGTCTTGAGATCTCTTTACAAGTAAAAAGAAATGTGTTCTTCTATGAAAGGTTATTATTTCTTTTTACAAAAAAATAATAATTTATTATAATCAGTGTTCCGCTCATGGCGATGTTGCTGTTCAACAAATCTCCTTCCATATTTTACTTGATGTAGTTGATTCATTCTTCAGCCTTTCAAAAGCCAAATGTCTTTGGATTTGTTAATACACTGTATTCAAATATTTTGAAGGTGGTATCCAAGCGGTTCGTCCAGTACATGCTTCTTCGTTTAGGAGACCATTTATCACCGCGTGGAAATATATCTTGCCCCGTTATTAGATAATTGACTCAACAGCTTGAGGTCTTCTTCTTTAGTTCTATCTGAGATATCCGAAGCTACTGAAGCAAGGATCCGTAAGATAAGGCATTTTAAAGACGTTTCCATCCGGCTGACTTGAAAAAACTGCACTCTCCAAGCCACAGTGCTGACCTGGGTTTGTTCCATACACATACAAGGCTGCCTGTTCATATCTCTTTTTGAACAAACTTTCCTGTTGAATTTCCTTCGCGCAAAGATCAAGAACTTCGGGAGTCAAGACCTTTGAGTTTTTTCTTCTGATGGTTCGAGGCAAACCGTCTCTTCGCTCGCTCCCCGTAGACCTTTCCGCAGCGCCTCTGTCGCAATCTTTGTTGACATAACCCTCTGAGTTCTCTGTTTCACTGTCACTAAGATTCATACTTCTTCGGTTGTACATGTTCACCTCAACTCCGCGCTCAATAAAATCCGTAAGCTGCTCTCTGCTTCGTTGTTATAAGCTGACAACAGGGAAACGTGTTGATTGTCCTTGGTTGGCTGCCTAAATTGGGATCTCCAGCGGGTTATGGCTTAAAGCTTCTGTCACCGCAGCTTAAAATACTTTCATCACTCGACTTAACACCAAAGGAAATGCAACAATGCACGTAGAGGACAGCAATTTAGCGGAACCAAACAAACACATACGACAGTGAATCGTCCAATCACTATCAATCACTGCTACATTTATTGCTATACCCTCTGCTCTTTTATGCTCCTACGCCATCTAAGCGTCCATCTTGACTGACGGCTGTAAGCGCCGGAAAACGATCATCTGTCATTGAGCACGTGGGCGCTAATTGTGTTGTTTTCGTTGTTTAGCGTGGTAATACGAGTTGAAATGCGGTTGGGCTAAAATTAACAATAATTTCCCTATCGATGTGATTAGGCAGTTTTGTGTTTTTTCTGTTAAGTGTTTTGAAAGACTTTGTCGAGTTAATCTTTTGAAAACAGTTAGGAACATTTTATCAGCTAAAGCGTTACCGGAAAACGATTTATACATGAACCACTAGTTAAATCACGCAAATGTAATATTCTTGAGCTCATTTTTCTGTTTGCACAGTGCTTTGTTAATTGAAACTTAGATGTACTTTTTGCTTAGTTTTTACCTTTGGAAATATGACAAAAATAGTCAGAGTGTCTACCTTTTTTTTGGAATTGAGATGTTTCAATATTAGACATGATCCTATAATAAACTTTGAAACAATTTCATTGAGTATGAGTCACACCACAGAAACGAAAACAAAATACAAGATCTATTTCGGTCTGCTTCAAATTCGGTGAGAAATGATTTTCTCTAAGTCTTAAAAATAACGATTTATTTTCTGCACTTTGTTTGGTTTCCTTGCGCAAATTTAGCTGTCTATATTTGATTTAATCTTGCTCGTTTCTTTATCAGTTGAACAGAGTACTAATACCTATTTTCTTTAAAGAGGGGAGTCACGAAGACACATTGAAAGCTTTCATTGGGCGACTGAAAGTCTGAAAGAGCCACTAAAACAGCACTTCAACATTCAAAGTGCAACAGAGATTCGATTCGATTCCGTGGCAGTCTATTGACTCCGTTAACCGGCTGACTGGCTTCGTTTCCACAGGATTCAACCACGTTTACGTTAGTAAAGAGCGGCTTTAGAGAAGAAATTATAGCATCCAAAGGTACGGCCGGAAATTAAACTTGGAGCCTTGATCAGCAAAGATTCCAGAAAAAAGTACTTATGTATTAAATTTACCAATCACGAGCTGGGGCATGCAATCACTCGCATCAGTAGAGTAGAATTTCCTGAAGCAAAAAAGCCGTCATTATTATTTTATCATTCAAGAAAATTTCCAATTTAAAACATCAATGAATTAACCAACTCAATGTTAAATGAACCATTTTAACAAAGAGCGCCACCCACTGAGTTAATCCCTCGGAATGCATCCCCTCTCCTCCCCCTCCCCCACTAAAATCCCCTCGTAATACCGCGGTTTCCTTTCCTATGTAACTTCTTTCGAGCAATATCATTAGTCTCTATTTTTCTGATTTTACTCCATTAAACAATGACGTTAATCAATCAACGGACATACCGAGCTGAACAGACAAAAGAGTCAAACAAATAATTATCTTAAACTTCCGTGAATAATGTGCAAAAAATTCAACAATGCGCAATGCGTGAAGATCTGACAGTCACGTCTGTACGGACGTCCAGCTTTCTCCAGGATCTATACAGTCTATATAGCTTTTACTGACGTGTTTGGCCTGTTTACTGAGTTTTCGGAGTGAAGGACATGTCAAGATCAACGAACAGTTGGTGTCGTTAAAGAGAAACATTAATATTGTACTTACACAGACGATTAAAATTTGCAATGACGCAGCTCTGTAATTCCACTTTCAGTTTCCGTAAACACCAACTAATGGATCATTCAGCAGTCTTCAGAAAATCGCCGAAAATATCTATATTCCTCTAAAACACGTCCGTTTGAAACGATTTCCACCAAAAAGCGTGCAGTAATCTCACAAACGTAAAATTCGTTGTTTGGTAATTATATATAATCCATATTTGCCTCAATTTTCGAATTCAGTCTTGTTTCAGCACTTTTTGGTTTATAATGTAACATCCAGCAGGAACAAAACTGAGAATATAGCACTGACATGGTTTCATGGATACTTAGTCTACTTACTAAGGTGTACTAAGTTGTTCGTATTAGGGGCTCATGATTTTCAAGTGATTCATCTGATGAATTTTAAAGGACTCGGCCCAATGTAGGAAACTAAACTTTTATAGTTCTGACAAAATAAAGGGAGCGCGATTGCCGACCAAGCCATTACAAAAGACTCCTAGGCCGGTGAATTAGTTTGTTGAGAGCCAGCATCACTAGCATCTCGGTTTGCAGCTTCGTTAACCGGCTAGAAACCGATCATGCACTGCTCTGACTTTGTTTCATGTATGTTTACTCAGTATCAAAATAAGCCTTTTTTTCCAGTTAAGCAATTTCAACAAAATAAACACTCCAAAGAAAATGAACCCAAAAAGAAACAAAACCGGCACCCATCAGTCATAACGTAATGTAACATTCACTGTCCGGGAATCGCATATATAAGATACGATTTTTATCATGCAATAGTTGTACTAACTTTTCCGCACTTAGTTACGGTCAGTAAGCGGGGAAGTTGATCAGACAATCTAAGGCGTTCATTTTATGGCGTGTTTCTGGCCTCCCTTTATAACTGCAGAACTTTGAATCAAACCGCACACCAAAGTAAGAATGACGTTGAATTGAAAATAAACGAAATCAAGTAATATGTAGAACAGCTAGCCTGACAGCAAAATCCGTAAGAGTCGTTTTTGACCCCCGACCGCAGGGAGTTTCTCCTTACGCCAAACACCCGCGTTCCTAAAATTCAACGTGGATGATTTATCCGGTGAAGGTTTCAATATTTTTCCACAGCGATGCCGTTTATTTTTTGTTACAGTAGGTATGTTGGACAATGAAGGAAATCATCAAAAACAGATAGAAATTGGCACTTTGCACACAAGTATTCACTATTGTACAGTAGTTGCGATGACGCAGCTTGATTCCACTTAAGCTTAAGTAATCTCGGAGATTTACACTCAGGGGAATCCGAAAATGACGTTAGAAACTCACAAATATCATGAGGTCTTCTGAGTCTTCAGTACAGTTCAAAACTCGTGCAAGTGCGAAAAGCATACAAGCGAGAATCCAGATGTTCATCGTCTCTTAGTTGCAATGTGGAAAGTAGTAGATACAATCAGTGTCAGGTGATAATTTTTTGTGGTATGTATATATGTGTATCAGTCATGTTGGGGGCTGAAGTCCGAAGAAGGCGTTATTCTTGAATAAGCTGACATTTAGATTTTAGATTACACAGTTCGAGTTATACCAGTTACACCTGTAATATCAAGTTGACTTTAATAAGGAAACGATTTGGTCATATATTTTCTGAAAGATTATCGATACTTGACAGCATAAATGACATGGCAGTATAACGGTTCTGGAAAACCTATTTTAAGATATGAAACTGCCCACCATAAAAACTGCCGGAAAAAGCCATTGACGGAATTCTGTTCATGTCCGGCGACCTTGATTTTGACCTTGCTGTTTCAAAAGTCAATTCTTAAAACCCATATTTGTCAATTTCAGGAAAATAGTGGGATAATTTTGTACAACGTGAGAACTGACCAAAAACACGACAGCGGAAGTCGGGTGTAGGCTTCCACTGTTAACAGTCGTAGTCACACGGAAATCGAGAGAGGCTATAAGCACTCAGGAGAATCTGAAAACCAGACTCGCTTATTATTGACTGAAAAGCCAACTGGTGATGCAGTAATTCTCTAAAGAACGTAAACTAAAAGGGGTGACATTGCAATTTTATATCAAATACACTGAAGGAAGTGAGCCAGTTAGTATTGAACTCACGTAATGACGTAGCACAGTTCCTCCGATTTTAAGAGTTGTTTATTCCTTGTAAGAGGATGGAGTGACGTTAGATAACACGTTTCCTCGATACCAGGTGTTCACAGATGTTTTCTCTCACCGTTTTTTCCTCATTCGATTCTCCATTTCCACAAAGATCATAATGCACCTTGTTTATCCCCCCAAATTTTGCATAACAATTGTCTTCGATTTCTCTTGGGACGTCTGTAATAACAGGAGAAATTGAAAACAATTGTTATGCAAAAGTTGGGGGGGGGGGAGGGTGAAACAAGGTGCACTATGGTTCATGTGAAAATGGTGAATAAGGAGAGGAGTGTAGCAGATCTAGATATTTGAATTTTCTCTCATGGTAGTTTTTGTGATGTAACATATAATTCTCACAAACATTACTGAATTTTTGCTTCTCATCAGTTTACCAAGGATAGGCAGATAGAATTATAAAAGAAGACTATGTGCATGCAACAACAACAACAACAACAACAACAACAGCAACAACAACAACAACAACAAAAACAGTTTTACAGAGAGTTTGCAGTTTAAGGGTGAGTATCTTGCATTACAGTCAGATTTCTTTGAATACAAAGACCATTCACGTTACCGGGTAGAATTTTTTAAAAAGAAAGGCCGGACGAGAAATCAAAGGGCGGGTTAACTTGATTCAATTTAAATTAAATCAAATTTGAATTATGCTTTTATTATTAAATTAAATTATGATATGCTTCATCACAAAATCTACTTCCCAAAGGTCAGAAATTTTTTGATGAACAAAGGTTAATATCCTCAAAAGATATTTTAAACTATTGAATACGCCACAATGAGTCAATATTGTGTCAAGGGTGATCAAATTGAGCCTCTTCTAGTTTCTAGAGCGCATTGGATCATGTTCAAGTGTTATTTTGCGCCTTACAAATAATAAGTTATCATTATATTATTATATCATTATTATTATTATTTCTGAAGGAAAGGTCCTGAGGAAGAGGTTGAGAAGATGGTGTCTCTCCCTTAAAAAACCACCTAGTAGCCCACGAAAGGTTAACCGCACCACCGGGCTCTATCTCCCCTACTCTTTCTGAACGGTAATGTGGGTTGTTATACATCCACAAAAGTCGGCTGTGAAAGTCTTTCGTCCCTTCGAAGAGA